AACAGGGACTTGTATTCAGAATATATACAGTGCTACCACAACTATTCAATAATAAAAAGATAAATTACCCCATTAAAAAAGTGAACAAGGATTTGAACAGACATTTCTCCACAGAAGATATACACCTATAAAAAGATGCTCGACATCGTAAGTCATTGGGAAAATGCAAATCAAAACCACAATGAGATATTACTTCACACACAATCTCAAATAATTAAATAAATAAATCTCTGCAAGCTGGAAAATTTAACATTAGGGAATAACTTCAAAATGTTAAATTATGTTCTTTCAACCAATATTATCATGAGCAACCTTGTGGATAACAAGATTACCACAGACAGTTTTAAAGCAGAAAATATCCTTATAAACAAGCTCACTTACTGTTGCAGTTATGTCGTCTTTCTTCAACTCTTTTGGCTTGAGAAAGTAAGCACCTATTGTAGATCTTTGATAATTCCAGGTTGAGCAAGATAGCTTACCTTGATGGCAAGCAATGATACCATCCCAGTCACTCTCACGAGCTTCCTCTAAAATAATTAAAATCATAAATCAAATTGCTATTCATTCTCCCATTAATTCATCTATTATTTGTAAGCATCTAACATCCCCTGTTATTATCAGACACTAGGAATACAATGGTGAAACAAGCAGGTAATCTCTGATAGCAAAGAGCTTCCAATCTAACAAGAAATTATTATTTTTTTTTTTGAAATTGACAAAAACTGTATGTATTTACCATGTAAAACATGTTTTGATATATGTATATACAGTGGAATGGCTAAATCAAGCTAGCTAACATATCTAACAAGAGATTCTGATTAGGAGAAATTTAATAATAAAGTATGTTTTATAAAACCACTCAGATTTTGGCAAAGTAATAAACAGCTCCCAGGAAAGAGTGGTAAAGCAAGAAGAAATTACTCAGTGGGGAGACAACATGCCCAAGAGAAACTGAACTGAGGACAGCAAGTGAAATGTTTTCTTGAAAGGGGTGGGAGGAGGGCAAGGCAACTTGGGCCACTTTACACAGGGTCTTATTATTTATTAATTTATATTAACAATAATTTATATTATTTATTATATCTGTTATAGAGAAGAGCAAAGCCTGAGATTAAATGGACATTAAGTTCACAAAAATAACTCATTTTTAATCTTCACACAAAATCAACATGCACTTGCATTTATCTTCTGAATGATTAATATTTGTAAAAATACTAAAATGGAGAAAATAAAGACGTGTACAGTAGGAAATAAATGACAAGGCAGAACTTCTCAAAACACAGTACGAAGTTACCTGCCGCAAACTTTGTGATGGGTGGAAGTCTCACTGACATGGTATTCTGAAGTCCTTTCCGCTTGACTCTCTTTTTATTTATTAATCCTGGGGTTAGGGGAGAGGGGAATATAGCTATGAATCCTTCTTAATGGAAAATGTATACAAAAGAAAAGGTATTTATTGTCACATAAAGTTCACGATATTTCCATGTAAGTTAGGAGCAAAACAAAGATGTTATCACTATTACTTGTTTCTGAAGGTTAGCTTATGTAATTACATAAGAAAATAAATTACAATGTATGAATAATCAAAAACAAGAGATAGAAATATTATTTGCAGGTGATACGATGGTCACAAAATCACATAAATCAAATGAAATAACCAAATAATTATTAGAAGTAATAATAGTTTCACTGGGGTCAAAGAACGAATACAAAAAAGCCCAGGGAGTTCCCTACATTGTAGCAATAATCAGAAATATAATGAAGACTGTATTCATACTATTAGCCAAAAAATACAAAATGCCACCGAATAACCTTATATATGTAAGACCAACTTAAGGAAAATTGAAAAAATCTTCACCGAAGAACATAAAAAACAACTTGAATGAGGATATATTACATTCCTAGATGAGAAGATTCTTAAAGGCATCAAATCTCTCCAATTTAATTCCAAGGACTTACTTTAGAAATTGATCAAAAAATGATCCTAAAATGCATCTGGAAGCATATACATGCATGAATACTCAGGATATTCACTTAAAAAGATGAATAATTATTAATAAAACTGAAAACATTTTTAATAAACAAAATTTTTCAAAGGCTGGAAACCATCAAAAGAGAGAGAGAATAAAA